AACAGATAAGTGAAATTATACCTTTAAATAGATTTAGTGGAGCCAATGACATCTACACGGTTGAAGGAAGATGACTTCTTTTAACCATTGCAATTTGAATTTAGTAGTTAATTTAATATTCGTGACATGGTGTACTGATGGCAAAAATTATTTAATAACCGGATTTAGTTTTGGTTCGATTGTCACTGTATGAGGCCCCCCGGATCACAACCTTGAACGTAATTCATTAACGTTGTAAGATCCATTAAATCTTACAAGATAGAACTGGGTTTATGCCTCTTCTATCTAGCGCCACCTGATTTCTCGAAAAGTAACTATTTTTTGCAGGCCGATTTACGTCATATAATAAAGAAACAATTCATTATTTCTGTTTTATATTTTTTTAATGTACCGATTAAAATATATCTCTTTTACATTGTTTTAATGAAGAAATTATACAGAATTATTGAAATTTGTCTTCGGGGGTTCTTCCATCAATAGGCACTATTCGATATACAGATCTTAAATACTTCTTCCGTATAATCGTTGTCTTTAACGATGCTCTTCCAATGATCCTGTTAATAATGAAAAACATCTATTTGATACTGATTTATATTCATTTTAAAATTAAAATAAGTTCGTTTTATTCTCGATTTTTTAAGAGAAAGCGTAAGATATCAGCAAAATGATCTCAAGAATTGGATAAGGTTAAAATTATATTTGTTACTTACCTCTATCCACGCCATCCCCAACCTCTTCCATATCCTCCCCAGCCTCTTCCGTATCCTCCCCAGCCTCTTCCGTATCCTCCCCAACCTCTTCCGTATCCTCCCCAACCTCTTCCATATCCTCCCCAACCTCTTCCATATCCTCCCCAACCTCTTCCATATCCTCCCCATCCTCTTCCTCTTCCATATCCTCCCCAGCCTCCGTATTGCGCCTCTACAGCTACTAGCACTACAAGAACCACCAAGAAGACTGCAAGGATTCTTTTGTCCATCTTAAACTAGAAGAAACAATGAATGACAATCTTATCGTACGATATAACTATAGAAAGATAATACAAACTGCTGGAAAAACTTACAGTATTATTGGAACAGTTCGAATGTTCAGCTGTCGGATGTGTTATATCGAGACTTGAATCGTTCGCATCTTTATATTTATTCGTAAAGACCTTGAAAAAAACCCGTCTAAAGCGTGAGGTCACAAACTACAATTTTTAGTTCGTTGACTGAATATAATAACTCCGATTCCCTGGCCACTGAATCTTCTAGAGAAGAGGGGACATTCCCTTTCGGTTCTTTTTCTTTTCGTGTATTGCAGGAAATGTATAATTACGTCGTTGGCTTCACGACTCTTATATGTTTTAATCACTTTCTCAGAGATAAAGATTTTAATGATATCTCATTTAGACAAAATTGATACAGTCTTAATACAATTGAAATGTCGAAATAGTGTTTTGTTTAACGATTAAGATAAGAATATTTAAATAAATAAAAAATTAAATAAACAAAACCACTGTATACTGGTAATTAGTCGCGGGTTCGTGCACCACCGACAAGCTGACCATGTGAATTTTTTTTCAAGTTATCTTCGCCTATTTAGGGGACAATTTTCTATCGAATAGCCTTCAGGAGGGATCACTCCTTTGATGGCCCACGTGTTACCTCGCCTTATTCCATCAAAAAGCCTCGACCGGCCTACCTAATTCTTAGGGGATCCGGAATCAAATCGGGGCAGTCAAAATAATCCCAGGAATTTTTCGTTAGGCCCCTCACAACCGAAAAAAGGCCCTCTCGATACTCACAGAGCAGAAACAGTTAAAAATAAGAATAAAATTTAAATTTTCTTTTATTTGTGTTTTATACTTGGGGTCATTGTATAAGGAGATTCTACTCATTCGGTTTGTTGTATATTACATTTTTATTTTTACCAATTTAAAGAAGAAGAAGAAAAAGAAGAAGGAAAACATTGAAAATTGAAGGTAGATTTAATTAAGATATTCATTAGTAGATGATTCTAACATTATTAAAGTAATTGGAATTATGAAAGAGATAGTTTACCATCTTTTTTAATAATCACTGCCTTCAAGTATTTTCCTTTTCTACACGAAAGAAAAAATAAATGATTTTTACTTATATAAGAGCTTCATTAAACGACTAAATTAGAAACAGAGTAATAAACTCAATTATTATATTTATTTACAGTTAACTAAAGTAGTTTTACTGAGTCTACGTTGATATTTTCTAATATATATATCACTTTTAAACTTTCTAAGGCCTGTCACTCTGCGAGGGATCCGAGTTTTTAATAAGAGGTCCATCCAGCAGCCAATTAAGATTTATTTTGAGGCCCGTAGATGAAGAAGACGAGACCCCCCCAAATGATTTTACACCATAAACTAATAACGTTTAAGGTTTGGTCTATTTATTTACGGCAACGCCACAAACATGGTTAATCTTCCGAGAGGGGTGCCACTCGGGAGGAATTTTACGGGAAATTGGCCCTTTATTTTGGTACGCGAAGTAAACCAGAAAAACCTCGTGTGCTCGACCCGTGGCTGAAGGTCTAGCGAATAATCCCACCGTGGGCCTGACAGAAACCACCATGGATACGAATAAAAGACCCTCTCTTAGTGATCACGGGATGGAAAGAGTTAATTATTCTTATTTAACTTTAATAATAGTACCGTAATAAAGACTATATCTATATTTGTTATGCAAGAGTTAAGGAATTTGACACGATTTTCAAATAAAACTAGAGTTGTAAAACATTTGCATCTGATTACCATAATTATTTTCTTCGATTTCAACACGGTCGAACATTATGGCAAGGTGAAACCGAATTTTTTTTTATATTTTTTTTTTTCTAAACTATAATTTTCTAGGATATTTCGGTGGTAAAATCCCAGATTTTATAATCCATGTATCCTGTTGCTCACGTTATGCAATGCTCCAAGTTTAAAAACTTCTCTAGGACATAGAAAACTCTAGAGGTCGACTAGATTATTATATAACGTTAGAATAAAATAGCTGATTTATCACTAATTCTCTACAATGGAGGCAACCATTTTATACAGAATTCTATATTATTATTAGTAATCATTATGAATTTCTTTCCTTTCAAATTGCTTCATCTTCTGCTTAAAAGATGTAATGTTTACTTTAAAATTGCGGGAATATAAATTTATAAAAAACTAAGGAAAATAATAAGTTTTTTTGACAGTTTTATTCACTAAATAACTTATTATTATTTTAATTTTAAAGCTTCAGACTTTCGTTCGAAGGAGGAAATAGTTCGGAATGCTGGCAATTAAAACTATTTTATTTAAAGTACATTTGTACTTTAAACGACACACCACTGGCAGAGCGGATAAAGCCGAACACTGGTAATTAGTCGCGGGTTCTCACCTCACCAACGACTGGCAACGTGGAATTTCTAGGTTTTTTTCACGTGAATAACATCCAAACGGGAGCAAGTTTCCCACAGAAAGTCCTCCCGCTTCTTTATAAATATAATTCTTGTGACTCGTATCACGATTTTAACCTATTTACAAACACAAGAATGGGATTAAAATGGTTTTTTTATATTTATGTACAGTACGAAGCATTGCGGGCCAAGAGGTCTCCGTATCCTGAACACTGGGAGTTCGGTCGTGGGTTCGCGCCTCGCTCGGACGGGTGTACGGTGATTCTTCTTTAAAAAAATTTGTATTACTTTCACCTTAAGGGCATTTTCCGTGCTCACCGCGGCTCGGCCAAGCACACAATGGCAGCGACCGGGTGGTGAAGGATGTAACATCATCCCCGAAAAATTCCTTTAAAATATATTTAATTTATATATTAAATATTGAAACCATTTATCCGGTACTTGGTCCGTAAATGGCTGCTATAAATCATGCATATTAGAAGTACATTTTCTTATTTACCATTGCTAAAATAGTAAATTCCGTTGCAAAAAATAAAAAAAAATTATTATTTAAATAACGTGTCATAGAAGATAAATTAAGGACTATGTACTATCTATATTATATTTTCTATTTGTTTTATGGAAATTATGAAAATCTAATTACTTCTGTAATTTTTCTGTATGGCACGACCATTCTTATGGCATTATATTTATCACGAGAAGAATTTTCAATCGTTTCAAAAGGTACGAAGAAATTATATATACAGATAAAACCTGTATACAACGGCCACTGACTAGAACGTAAAAAATGGCCGTGTTTTGGAGGTTCCTTTTCTTTAAACGAAAGAAAATGGCCGCTGTTTAGGAGCGACCATTGTTGAAAGGTGGCCGTTAATGGAGATTGGATATACAAATTTAAACGTAANTAAAAATTAAATTATTGGGAAATGTAATGTAATTCCTTGAAACAATTTATATAGGCCTGTATATATATACAGTATTTAATTCAAATTTACGTTAGTAACAGTCAAAAACCATTAAAAATTAACTGTAGTTCGGAGGTTTTTCTGTTATTCGTTTTAAAATCAATAGAAATTAGTGTAAAAGATGTTGGGAAGGGATTAATGATTCATAGATGTGTCCATTGTCGAATGGTTAAAGAAGAAAATTCCGAGCAATTCAAGTTATTTATAACAAAACTAAAGATGCTTTTCTTTACTTTAGAAAGGATGATAAATTAAAGATGCTGGGGACAATTCGTCTCGAGTGATCCCCGGTATGATAATAACGGTTGCCATTTTGAAAAAAAAAAAAAAAGAAATTACAATAATAACGATAACAACGGTGATAAAGTTATACCTTTCTTTAGCAAATGATGCGACACCGCACCGGGATCTCTGGGAAATTTTTCTTTTTTTTTTGTGGGGGGGTTAAGATACCTTCCGAGAATTTCTCAGCCGAAACAAAACACGAAGCAGTTTAGTATAGAGAGGAGGAGGAATGCCAATGACCTACACATTCGGGGAAATTCCTTTCTTCTATTCGGAGTTCAAGGCCAAAGAGGCAGATGTCGCCACCGCTCATACCTGGTCGATCGGACAGGTAAGTTGATGATTAAACAGTCAACCGCTTTACACAGTCGAGATGGCTGCTTTACAACTTCTCCTCTCTGCCTTATTAGTGTGTCAAGTGTATACCGCTCCTACAATCACCCCGACTGTCGCTCCAGGTGACAAACAATACTCAAGTACCATCGGTGAGTTATACTTTTCGAGATTCAATTAACATAATTATTAAAATTTCATCTATTTTTTTTTTAATTTGACGATTTAACCATGTGTGAGTATATATATAGTTTTAAAAATTATTATTAATCGGTTAAGATTTCGTATTTTTAGATGTGGAAACGTCGAGTAAAATCGAAGAAAGTATTAAAAATTCGGAAGAATCTCTATCGAATCCGGTGGAAAAAACGTACCAAATCGAAAGCAAATTATCACCTAACACAGAATCTTCATTGAAGACGACAATCACCATTGAAGAACGTGCAAAAAGTAATTCAGAAAAGTCCACGGTACCCGTAAAAGAACCCACTGCAATCTCCGAACTATTCGAGAGTGCCACAGAGAAGTTAAACGACGATAAACTTATATTAGAAACGGTGAGCGTTAAATCCATAAATGACAAAGAAACTGATATAAAAAACGAGAAATCGAAAGAATCGGTTACGGATAATAAAGAGTATTCGATAACCGGTACCACCGAAGATAACTCTACTCCTCCCGATCCAATTAGAAAAGACATAACAGAAGACGAAGGAAATATTTCCCCAGATCCCGTGGTATCCGATTTTATGCCCGATACTCAAACCGATGATATCATTGGTGGTGCCATGCCAGAATCAGAAATTGTCACAGCAGATATGATAGGTACTGGAGTTTTTCCCGAATACATTCCCGAAACGTTACCCGACGAACCCATAGAACCTCAAGAAACTTCTATGGTAGAAGAAGAAGAAGAGGAAGAAGAAATGGATTTGAATCCACCTTCCATCATCCCCGACGATGCATTACTCGATATTAACGATGATCCACTGCCCATTGCCGATGACATCGTCGAAGAAGTTCAAGAGAATCCTCCAGAGAAGATGGGTGAAGAGGAAGATACCGGTCCAATTAATATTATTTAATTAAATATTAAAATCTCTCGAATATAATAAATCTACGTGTCAATTAAAGTATATCCTTTTTTTCTATTTGTTAAATTCAAAAAAAAAAATAAATAAATAATAATAAATAAATAAAGAAACGACATTTGTATAAAATTTTATTCTATTGAATAATAAACGAATTCAATTTATTAAGAAAGAATACGAGTCTCCTATCTCCGTTGCTTTCTCCCCTTTTTCCATAGATGAGACGTGTCTCAACTCTCTATTTTATCACGTGATAGTGGCATCATTCAATTATTAATTAAAATCTTAATAAAACAATGACACGAAAACCTTTACCGCGTTACTTATTTGAGGTTTTAAATTAATTTAAAACAATTATTTGTAAATATTTGTCGAGTTACGAGACGTTAAAGCAAGCATTCGAAATACCTTTACTCGTCTTTTTTCTCCCTTTCTAGAAATTTTATTTTCAGAAATAAGTCAAAAATAATTTAAAAATCGATAAAAAATACTTCAGCAGAGGGGAGGAAAAAAATTCTGGTTTACATAATTTAATTTCTTTCATTTTTATAGAAGATTGAAAAATAAAATAGAAAGATAAGATCATTTTCGCGTAGATTTCGGGGGAATTATGACCCTATTTAATAGAATTATTTTCTCATAAAAGTAAGATTTGCTATTAAATCCGTAATAACTAAAATTTAGGCCATTTTTTCGGGAATGAATTGCCTTTTTTATTATTATTATTTAAGAAAAATGCGTACGAAATAACCTCCGAATAACGTCAGTCAGTGTCCGTTGTTCGGAGGTTCGATTGTATTAATAAAACTACATTAAGCACCAAATATATCGAGCTTAATTATATAATTAATTTCGATTTTTAGGTTATGATCATTTGCATACATATTACTGTATAACATTTATTAATTTACTAAAAATAGAAGCGTAATATACACGTATAAGTAATTTATAAGTATTAATCTTTACACGTTAACCTTATAAATAAATTAAAACTTATGTATACATATGTTTCTTTTTTTTTGTTTTATCAATATAAACGTTTATTATATACGTAGACAAGTTCAAACACACGAGTGTATATTGAATGTACGCGCAAAAATGTATTATCCTCGTGTATTCTTTAGTATTGAATAAATGTTGACAGGGGTTAGAGGAGAAATATGTACATTAGAAGCCAGATTGAATAGATATTAAAAAATCGATCGAAGAAATATGGCTTCTTCAACAGTTAACAATTTACAATGGAGAAACACATCCTCCCCCCCGACTTTCCAAGCTATTACGTTAAAACAGAAAAGGGGGTTGTGGAGCCTTCTTCTTCCTCTTCTTCCCTCAATTTAACGAATTCCGAAAAAATATAAAAGTATAGAGAGAGAGAAGAAGAGAAAAACCAACCCTCTTATTGGTTTTTTATCAGTGGACAAAATTATCCACCCTCTACATAAATAAATACCTAAATACGACCCTAAATGTAGAATTAATTAAATTTAATTGATTTATAAAATTTTTCTCGGTTATTTCGCAGACAGCTTTCAACAACTTGTTAATTATTTATTATAGTTATATTATTTATTTCCACACGTCTTTGGGGAAATTAATGTAAAACGGTATCATCATATTTTCAACCACCGCATCTTTATATATATATTTTTTTTCTATCTTTTTTTAACTACGAATTTATCTAAATTTATTATATATATATAAACCAATATATAATATTTTTATTAAGAGAATTTTTATAATTTATCCTCCCATCATTCGTTAATAGTTAGAGATCGATAGGATGGTTCTCTGAGGTGTTATTGCGTATGTCGTACACACAAAATAATTATTAGGATGTATATTAAATGCAAAATTTTGTAAGGTATGATTAATATTTTTATTTATTATTGGAAAAAGTAATTAAATTCTTTATTTTCGTCTTTTATTGCGTTGGAATTTAAGTTTTTCGGACGAGAATGGTGGGGGGTGCCACAGCGATTTATCGTTTCGTAGCTTATCGTGAAGAGAGAATTTGTCGGAAATAACGTTTCGGTATTTATCTGGGCGATCTTTAAAATCTAACAAATGTTATTTATAGATAACAGATAAGTGAAATTATACCTTTAAATAGATTTAGTGGAGCCAATGACATCTACACGGTTGAAGGAAGATGACTTCTTTTAACCATTGCAATTTGAATTTAGTAGTTAATTTAATATTCGTGACATGGTGTACTGATGGCAAAAATTATTTAATAACCGGATTTAGTTTTGGTTCGATTGTCACTGTATGAGGCCCCCCGGATCACAACCTTGAACGTAATTCATTAACGTTGTAAGATCCATTAAATCTTACAAGATAGAACTGGGTTTATGCCTCTTCTATCTAGCGCCACCTGATTTCTCGAAAAGTAACTATTTTTTGCAGGCCGATTTACGTCATATAATAAAGAAACAATTCATTATTTCTGTTTTATATTTTTTTAATGTACCGATTAAAATATATCTCTTTTACATTGTTTTAATGAAGAAATTATACAGAATTATTGAAATTTGTCTTCGGGGGTTCTTCCATCAATAGGCACTATTCGATATACAGATCTTAAATACTTCTTCCGTATAATCGTTGTCTTTAACGATGCTCTTCCAATGATCCTGTTAATAATGAAAAACATCTATTTGATACTGATTTATATTCATTTTAAAATTAAAATAAGTTCGTTTTATTCTCGATTTTTTAAGAGAAAGCGTAAGATATCAGCAAAATGATCTCAAGAATTGGATAAGGTTAAAATTATATTTGTTACTTACCTCTATCCACGCCATCCCCAACCTCTTCCATATCCTCCCCAGCCTCTTCCGTATCCTCCCCAGCCTCTTCCGTATCCTCCCCAACCTCTTCCGTATCCTCCCCAACCTCTTCCATATCCTCCCCATCCTCTACCGTATCCCCATCCTCTTCCTCTTCCATATCCTCCCCAGCCTCCGTATTGCGCCTCTACAGCTACTAGCACTACAAGAACCACCAAGAAGACTGCAAGGATTCTTTTGTCCATCTTAAACTAGAAGAAACAATGAATGACAATCTTATCGTACGATATAACTATAGAAAGATAATACAAACTGCTGGAAAAACTTACAGTATTATTGGAACAGTTCGAATGTTCAGCTGTCGGATGTGTTATATCGAGACTTGAATCGTTCGCATCTTTATATTTATTCGTAAAGACCTTGAAAAAAACCCGTCTAAAGCGTGAGGTCACAAACTACAATTTTTAGTTCGTTGACTGAATATAATAACTCCGATTCCCTGGCCACTGAATCTTCTAGAGAAGAGGGGACATTCCCTTTCGGTTCTTTTTCTTTTCGTGTATTGCAGGAAATGTATAATTACGTCGTTGGCTTCACGACTCTTATATGTTTTAATCACTTTCTCAGAGATAAAGATTTTAATGATATCTCATTTAGACAAAATTGATACAGTCTTAATACAATTGAAATGTCGAAATAGTGTTTTGTTTAATGATTAAGATAAGAATATTTAAATAAATAAAAAATTAAATAAACAAAACCACTGTATACTGGTAATTAGTCGCGGGTTCGTGCACCACCGACAAGCTGACCATGTGAATTTTTTTTCAAGTTATCTTCGCCTATTTAGGGGACAATTTTCTATCGAATAGCCTTCAGGAGGGATCACTCCTTTGATGGCCCACGTGTTACCTCGCCTTATTCCATCAAAAAGCCTCGACCGGCCTACCTAATTCTTAGGGGATCCGGAATCAAATCGGGGCAGTCAAAATAATCCCAGGAATTTTTCGTTAGGCCCCTCACAACCGAAAAAAGGCCCTCTCGATACTCACAGAGCAGAAACAGTTAAAAATAAGAATAAAATTTAAATTTTCTTTTATTTGTGTTTTATACTTGGGGTCATTGTATAAGGAGATTCTACTCATTCGGTTTGTTGTATATTACATTTTTATTTTTACCAATTTAAAGAAGAAGAAGAAAAAGAAGAAGGAAAACATTGAAAATTGAAGGTAGATTTAATTAAGATATTCATTAGTAGATGATTCTAACATTATTAAAGTAATTGGAATTATGAAAGAGATAGTTTACCATCTTTTTTAATAATCACTGCCTTCAAGTATTTTCCTTTTCTACACGAAAGAAAAAATAAATGATTTTTACTTATATAAGAGCTTCATTAAACGACTAAATTAGAAACAGAGTAATAAACTCAATTATTATATTTATTTACAGTTAACTAAAGTAGTTTTACTGAGTCTACGTTGATATTTTCTAATATATATATCACTTTTAAACTTTCTAAGGCCTGTCACTCTGCGAGGGATCCGAGTTTTTAATAAGAGGTCCATCCAGCAGCCAATTAAGATTTATTTTGAGGCCCGTAGATGAAGAAGACGAGACCCCCCCAAATGATTTTACACCATAAACTAATAACGTTTAAGGTTTGGTCTATTTATTTACGGCAACGCCACAAACATGGTTAATCTTCCGAGAGGGGTGCCACTCGGGAGGAATTTTACGGGAAATTGGCCCTTTATTTTGGTACGCGAAGTAAACCAGAAAAACCTCGTGTGCTCGACCCGTGGCTGAAGGTCTAGCGAATAATCCCACCGTGGGCCTGACAGAAACCACCATGGATACGAATAAAAGACCCTCTCTTAGTGATCACGGGATGGAAAGAGTTAATTATTCTTATTTAACTTTAATAATAGTACCGTAATAAAGACTATATCTATATTTGTTATGCAAGAGTTAAGGAATTTGACACGATTTTCAAATAAAACTAGAGTTGTAAAACATTTGCATCTGATTACCATAATTATTTTCTTCGATTTCAACACGGTCGAACATTATGGCAAGGTGAAACCGAATTTTTTTTTATATTTTTTTTTTTCTAAACTATAATTTTCTAGGATATTTCGGTGGTAAAATCCCAGATTTTATAATCCATGTATCCTGTTGCTCACGTTATGCAATGCTCCAAGTTTAAAAACTTCTCTAGGACATAGAAAACTCTAGAGGTCGACTAGATTATTATATAACGTTAGAATAAAATAGCTGATTTATCACTAATTCTCTACAATGGAGGCAACCATTTTATACAGAATTCTATATTATT